ATTTCTGTCAGGATCGTTCATCGCGTCGATCATCCCTTTATCTTCAGGTACGATATGGGCAGCCGCGATTTGATTGTGGACATGGGGAATTTCGTCAGCCATCTCAGATTTCCACACGACGCGGAATTTGCTTCAAGAATGTTAGAAACCATGTAATATTGGAAATCGAGATGCTTCAATTCGAAATCAGATAACATATCTGATTAAGAAGATTCGAGTTTCGCGTTGCACGCAATCTCCTTGAAGCAAATTCGGCCCGCCACCGATTGCTTCCCAAGATAAAAATGATCCCACAACGAACTGAACCAAGAAACGAGATAAGGTTTTTGGAGAAGAAATTAAAAGGGAAGAAAAATAGAGAGTCGAGAGTAGATTTTTTTTTATTCACGTTGAGATTTTTGTTGGTTGTATTCTTTAATTTAAGAGGAAGAAAGATTAAATCACGTGGCCACTAAAACCGTAACCACCTCCACACGTTCAAATATTTGTTGTACGTTTATTTTATTTTTCCGATTAAAATTTGAAACAGTCAAAATTAATTAATCAGATAAAATAAAATTTAAAATAATTGAAACTTTTCTTATTGGGCCCGGCCCACGAGCCCTCACAGACCCAAGGCCTAAGGCCCAATCTTGACTCTAGATATATATACATATATATACTCAATTCCAAGCCCAAGCCAAAGCCCAACCTATTATCTCATCCAATTCATTCTCAATTGAATAATAAATGAGAATAAATGTTTATAAGGAGGTGGTGGTTTGTTTGTTCTTTCCATGTAGGACAATGCACATTTCTATTTCTTTCTTTCTTTCTTTCTTTCTTCTCTTTCACACACCAACAATGGTTTCATAAGTTAAGTATATTGTTGAACAAGTAAAAACAAATATGAATGGGTGTGATTAAGTGTTGTATTCAAGAAAAATACCAGCTTAATTATGAAATTGTGTTAAGTGGTAATTTTCTTAACAAAAAAAAACAATTTTTTTCTATTGTTTCCATGGAGTTAAATTTTAAACCAAAACTATAATATAAATGACCATTCATAGATGATGATGTAGTTACCTAAAATTGTTGAGAAGCCTAGAGCACTAACAGTGGTTGACGGTGTTGGCAGCCATTCCAAGTTGTTAAGAGGAGAAAATGAAAGAGAAAGAAGCGGTCGATGATGGGTGTCCTGTTTCGCTTTCTATTTACGTGCAGCTTATTCATTAAAAGCCGGTCTTTCTAACTTATAGTTGCATTTGAATGATTGGTACATCACAAATTTGATTTAATTTTTTTACCAATTGACTTTGTAATTTGTGAATATTGAATATTCTAGAGTGTGATTTTGCAATGCAAGTGTTGTACTTGGTGATTGAAAATAATTAAAAAATATCAAATCACAACGAAAGAGTAAATGAACAATTTTTTAAAGTATTTTGATACAGTTGAGCATAAATTTTATCAAGAATCACGACATATACTTGCTAAAATTCCTAAGTCAACATATTAAAAATTCACATTATTATTAGGATTATAATTATTGCACAAATTTAGTTGCGTATGAATTAACAAAATATAAGTAAGCCGTTAAAAATTTTAAACTAAAAGAACTGGAAGTAGTTATACTAGATGGTAAAAAAATCTCTCTATTTTTTACCTTGCAACTAAAGTATTAAGCTCAAAAAACTAGAAATGGTCATTATTATAGGGTAAAAAAATCTCTCTTTTTCTTACGTGAAAACTATACGAGGAATATGTAGATAAAAATACACAATGGAAAAAGATGACAAATGAATTTAATATTTGTGTGTTTAAAACTGGTGTAAGAGAAAGAAAAAAAAATGGAAGTGGCTTTAGCTTCACCAAACTGTGTCGTTGGCCATTTCATCTTTTGACTTTTACAGCTATTTCATTGTGTGAGGAGATGATAAAATAATGTTTAAATATTAGCAAGAAGCCCTCAATTACTTGTCCATTGTATTTTCTCTTACATATACATGAGTTACAATTATACAAATGGGTAAAAACATATTATTTCACGTGTTATAATAAGACAATGAAAATACAATTTAAGCTTTTTCATCCAAAGTGATAATAAATTCACAATGTTTTTATTCTTCCATCCTCTCTCATCTTGGATTGGGAGCTGGTTGGTTGTGCTCGACCATCCATAGAAAATTATCTTCTTTAAGTGATAGTATAATTTGTATCATCACAAAATGACTTTAATTTTTAATCATAATTTACATTTCAAAATGCATCTGAATGAATGCTTTCATGATCCTACGGATTAAATGTGAACTTTTGCAAAATTTGTTGCGGATCCAAGGTTGGTAACTTAGAAAGTTGTATTGAAGAAAATGGAATGTGCCTTACCTCTCGGAACTATGCATGGTATTTACATGAGTTCAATAGGTGATTCTAGTATTTTTTTAAAAATATTTTTTTTCAATTCCATCAAATCTACGAGAGATTCTCTAAAGTGATAAAAATTATTTATCCCAATCTATATGATCTCATCATTTTTTATTTTTTATTTTTAATTATGCTAGTTAGCTTTGAACACACTTGCATTGTTAAATCACGTCACTATTATTATGTGTCATCAAATATATTTTCAATTACTTTATTTTTGTACTATATATTTACATAGTTTTAAATAGTTTATAACTTCATCTGTTCGCCAAATTTATTCTCACTTTCCTTTTTCGTCCGTCCGTCCGTAAAATTTACCTTATTACTATATTTATAAAAGTAAAAAAGTCAATACTTAATTATTACCCTTTATTCAATACTTAGTTACAATAAATACCACTCATTTTATTATATTCTCTCAATTCTCTTTAATTCCTAATTAAATTTCCAAACAAATACTGACAACTACCTTTTTACTTTTTTAATAAAATATTTATTTTTCTTAATTTACGTGCCGAGCCCAAATGGGCTAAATTTCCTGGACAGGGGGAGTATTATTATTATTATTATTATTATTATTATTATTATTATTATTATTATTATTATAATGTAAACTATAAATACTCGCAGCACCTCTACACCACACTTCACTTCAAAAATATTTATAACAAAAAATTTTATTACAAAAAATGTCAAATTCATCTTAAACTATTTCAAGTTCATACTGCGATGAAGAGGATTTGGTTTCTTTCAATTTATGCATGCAATTTCAACGTCTTCAAAATGTTATCACTAACCATAGAGATGAAAATCAATTATAATGAAGAACATACATGGAAAGAAATGGTGAAGAAGGTCATAATCGTTAATTTAACAATTATTTTTTTTAAAATTCTGTCTATACAAAATTTCAATTTCTTCGTAGATTTTGAATGAGGAGGTATGTTTTTTTGCGCATTGTAAATCGTCTAACAATAGAAAGTGAGTTCTTCCAATAATGTTGAGATGCAACATGAAAGTTTGGTTTATCGCCATTACAAAAATGCACGGTTGCTTTGCATGTGTTGTCCTTTGGTGTAGCTATTGATATTGTAGATGACTATATTCGTATTGGAGAGAATACAACAAGAACGTATGTAAAAAAAAATTGTTGAAGGAGTCATTTCAATATTTGGTGAGAAATATTTAAGAAGGCTAAATGCAACAGATCTACAACGATTGTTGTATGTTGCAGAAGAACGTAGTTTTTCGAGAATGGTGAGAAATATTGATTGTATGCATTGGGAGTGGAAAAATTATCCAACTTCTTGGAAATATCATTTTTTTACGTGGAGATTATGACAAACCAAATATCGTATTAAAAGCCGTAGCATCGGATGATCTATAGGTTTTACATTCATTTTTCGGAGCACCAGGTACATGCAATGGTATTAATGTACTTAATTAATCTCTGATTTTTAATGACATATTGAATGCTAGAAGTCTAGAAGTAAGTTTTATTGTCAATGATCATTAATATGGTATAGGGTATTTTCTTACGGATGAAATATATCCTCAATGGACGATATTTATCCAATTCATTCGTTTGTCTCAATGACCTAAGATGCAATTATTTGCACAACGTTAGTAAGCTGCTCGAAAGGATGCAGAACATGCTTTAGATGTTTTGCAAGCTCGATTTGCTATTATTCGACGTCCGTCACTCATTTGAGATATTGATTTGATTGGTAAGATAATGAAGACATATATCATTTTGCATAATATGATCGTTAAAGATGACAAATATACATATATGCATTATTATGATGTATCCCAATTCAAATAAGTGAATACAGAAAATTTTAGCGGTTCAAATCAATTATATTCTGCGATAGATATGCCAGAATGATTGAGTTTCTAAGAAATAGAATGCGACTGCAAGATAAAGGAGTACATTAGAAACTTAAAGCAGATTTGACTGAAAACATATAAAAAAAATTTGGTTCGATGAATAATTAAATCATTTATTTTTATTTTTATTTTAAATATTTCTATTGTAAATGTAATATAATATAATGTAATGTTTTCTTCCAAAAGTTTAGTTATTATTTCTATATTTTACTTTATCAATTAATCAATAATAACTAAAGTAAATACAACAGAAAAATAATTTAACATTAAAATTGAAAATTATAAATAAATTAAAACTAAATTCAATTAAATAATAAATAATATAGTTTTTTTCCCATAAATTTTTAATAAATCAAAATATTGTTAAATAATAATATAATATAATAATAAAAAAGTTAATTAATTAAAAAAAAATATATGGATATACATATATAAATATAAGAATAAAAATTAATTAAAAAATTAGAATAAGTTCATCTCGTGTTAATATAAAATACATGAGAGTATCTGTGATTAAGTGAAAAAAAATAAAAATAAAATGATATGAATAATAAAATTTACTGGAAGTACCCAAAAACGGATATTAGGGTGGCCTAAGTAAAAGCTTGCATGTCAGCTAAGCTATATCAATTCCTTGGCCCAAGTTTTTAGGGCCTAATTGAAAGTGTGAATCCTACGTTAAAACGACGCCGTTTTTGTTCAAAGCCCTTGTGGAATACCATTCCTAATCGACAAAAAATTTCGCAAAATCACTCCCGCAAAGCTGCTTAAGCTTAACGACCAGCAAGGATGATTCACCTATGTCGAACCGCGATGAAATGCACCCGCCGAGTGGAAGTCGGTAGGCTAGATCGACGGATGCCTTTGGCGTTTTTCGACTTGCCAAAGCATTTCTCGGCCGAAGCTTCGGATTCGGGCTCCGCTGTTTCGAACGAGCAGCTCTTCCAAATCCCCAAACCAGGTCGATCAATCGTTTTAACGAGTTGTCATTTTGATTGCTTGTTACAATCTGCGTCCTTATTTGACATTTCTCACTTCTGAGGGTTTTGATTTTAGGTTTCTGGTAGCATGCGATTTACATTAATATGACGTTGTTGATTTAAATTTTTGTTCTCCTGTTGTATACGTATCAGCAGCGTCTAATTATGTTTGCACCCTGGTAGTTGAACTTCATTTGGATAAGATATGTACTGTTTTTAGCAAATGGTAGTTAAGTTTTAGCAATGCTTTTATTTTTGAAATATAGAGCTGCTAGGAAGGCGGCTCTTATTTGATATTGGTTATTGATGATTGAATCGACTAGAAAAGTTTCCATTAGAGGATTGTATGTTCGGTTTGACAGTTTGAAGAAGAGGTTCATTCATCTGCTGTGGTGCTGTTATATTATTAGAAAATGGAGGAGTTATGACATTGCTGATTCTGAATTTTGCTTTACTTTTCCAGGTGTGGTTTATGGGCGACTAACCAATATCTCCAAATACACAAATAAGAGAGATGTACTCAATTTGCTTGAGTCTGGCTTGAGACCTGAGAATCTCAAAGTTGAATACAACCGATCATATTTTCCGACATCAATGTAAGATTGCCGTCTGAATGCCTCGCCTTGGTGCTATGTGACAAGATAATTGTGGAAGGAAAAACAGTTTTTTTTGTTTATTTTAAATGTAAATCACATTATTAGTTTTCTTAATATGAAAATCCTATCTTTATCTAACAATGATAAAACATTCATTATATGGGATAAATGTATTTTTAGTCCCGTATGTTGCACTCATAATCCCGTAAGTAAAGTCTGTATAGAAATAGTATGATATCTAATTTATAGTGTGTTAATATGATACTTCTGGAGCTGGCATGAATTAGAACGTAGTGTCTTTTAGCACCAAAATTTGACATGAATTTACTTTTTAAAATAAATTCATATCAATGTTTGGTGCTAAAAATTGCCATGCAACTAGTCCATGTTAGCTCCGAAGGTGTTATATTAGTACATCTGACAATATTTCGGCACCGGAGGACCTTATTAGTGATTATGGATTAGATATAGAACTAGTTATACATTTTATTTAAAGGACCAAAATAGTAATGGGTGCCACATACAAGAATAAAAATACATTATATATGTTAATCTGGCCATTGTTATTTTCATATTCTTGCATGAAAATTAGCTTTTAAACAATGAATATTTAGGTTGTGTTTACTTGTGCCCAGCCCTCTATTTAAAAGAAATGTCGACGTACGTTTTTTTTGTGGGTTTTGAATAACTCATATTTCCTTCCCATGGTCATTTCTAGGATCGTTGAATTTCCTTCACAATCAGCTTATGATGATGCTGTGAGGACCATTGGTAGAAAGGGTCGATTTCTTAACATGTCAAGGGTATTTTCCTACATCCTGCAATGTTGTTGTTTTAGCTTCTCTTTGACTGCAATCACATTTGTTTATAATGTTGTTTCCAGGCTGATAAATCTCAGTGGGATACTATCACTCCTCATGATGGGAGAGCGGTGAGATATAATTTATATATGACTTACATCGTATGCTTCTTTTCTACCGTTTTCAGTGTGACATTCTGAGAATAGTCTATAGGGCATCATACTTGGTGCCCTTCATCATTCATTTTTATCCTTGTGAACTAATTGACAAAATGTCCATTTCTGCATATTGAATCTGATAGTTCATTTGCATTTTCACTGCTTCATCAGATTTTATTGCTCGGGATCCCTCAGAATGCATTGATTGATGACATTGAGCGCTTCCTTTCTGGTTGTCAATATGATTCAACCTCCACTCGATTGTTTGTTAGGTTAGTGCCTGAGTTTCATTCATGATGTGCTACCCCCACGAGTTTTAGTGCTTTTACCCGATTTGAATTCCTTGCCTTGGTTCTCTATGCAGGCCAGTAGATCAAGGAGGTGTTGTTAGAATGGCAGTTGTCTGGTGTGGATCCCAGGCTGCTGCAATGCATGCTTACATTACCAAGAACCGCGGCTTTTGCCTCAACAACCAAATTTCCCTACAAATCCTCCATTAGCTTTTTAAAAATTTCCCGGATTCTGCTGGCTATTGTTAGCCTGCATCTGAATTTATATGATTTAGTTTTATACGATTATTACTGTCATGGCATGTCATGTTAGGCAGTTAGTTCTCTTGCTCGATTCTAACAGCATAATAAGATTCTTGAGAAAATTGCAACTTGTTGATCAAGCCTGTGCGGTGCTGACTTCATAATTTTGTCTTGTAAAATTTGAATATATTGCATTTGCTTGCTATTACTTATTGTGGCATGATAGTGTTGATTAATTGTAAATTTAGGTCTGTAGATTAGAAGGCGTTTTTTTAAATAATTGCTAATTGCAAATTTCATGTCAACAAAGGTTGCTTGTGACTTATTACAGAATGAGAGTTTAGAGTTTGACTGATACGTGATTGTGATTGGGAGTGTTGTTTGCATCATATGTAATGTAAGATATGTTCATAAAGTAATAAAAGGTTTGCTTCGTCAGTGTAGTTTTGGCCAAAAGTACTGTATGACCACTGTTAGGTCCGGATTTGGTGTCAATTTGGGCCTTTTTCTTGCCCCGATCAGCTTTGTATGCATAGAGCTGATATGTTTTATTTATTTATTTGTTTAAATTATAAGTATAAATATAAATTTTTATAATATTTATAATTTAATAAAATATATACTCATTTATAAAGAATAAAATATTTTATAATAAAGATAAATAAAAATTTAGAAATATATATTTATATTATTATATTTATTACTCATTAAATTAATCATATCAAAACTCTCAACCAAATCTAAATACAAAAGAAATATCAAAATTCAAATAAAAATCAAACTCAAATCAAAATTCAAATAAAAATCAAACTTAATTCCAAATTTCTCATTGACGAAACACACCCAAAAGTATAATTGTCCTGTCTGTTTTATCTTTTATGCCTTGTCTGCCTTATTTTATTTATTTATTTTATATTCTAATTAGAGCTAGATCCTTTAACTCTTCGGGATTGGGAGCGAGTGATATCTTATTTTAATGACCAATTGTGAACTTTTTAAAATAAGATTAAGGTTAAATTGTTTATAATTAGTTTCTAATTTGAAAATTTTATGCTATTTTTTTCTTAAAAACTGTGTGGGTTTTTTATGTTTTCAGTGAACATTATCTCTGGGTTCGTTTTAAGAATTTCCATTATTTACCTAAATTTTTTTCCCCAGAAAAATTAATTCAAATATTTTTTTAATTTTTTATTTTATAAAAAAAAAAATTATTTTACACTCAAAATATTATACACCGTAAAAATTATTTAAATTTAAAATTTTTACTATTCAAATTTCAACCAAACATCAAGTTTCCAAACAAATATATAGAATTTTTTTACAAATTTTATGTTATACACTACATAGCATTTACGTAGACACTTTGTAGTTATTTGGAGGATGCTTCGTGTCCCATTTCATACCTCAATTATTCTTGTACTTACACTATAAATATGAAATGTAATACAAACATTAATCACTCCCATTTTTTCTTAATTCCCCCTCTCGACCTGCAGCAGCAGCTACGTCGACGAGATGTAGATGCTTTTATAATCATTCATAAACCGCCTTATTTGTCTATATATATATATATATATATGCAAATGATGAAATGAATTTAGAACGAAATCCTTTTCTCCCCTCCCTCTCTCCATTCATTACTTCCATCTCCTATATCCATTCATTACTTCCATCTCCTATATATATATACATAATACATATTATATAATATAATAATATACATACATACATATATATTTGTATACTATATATATACTCACGCACTCACATCTATATTCACTTATATATATTATATACAATATATGATATAATAAAAATATATAAAATAGTGATTAGCGGTAGAAATAATTAATATTTCTATTAGCTAATTCTATAATAATATTACAACACGTTATCAGCACGATTATATATTTTAATTTCCGCAAGGTAATATTTCATATTTTATCTGTTTATTATGACTAACTTTGCCAAATAGGAATTTCTCCATCTCCTCGTTTCTGGCCAAAATTATATGGCATGGGCTCGCGATGTTAAAATGCATCTGGCATCAATGGGCTTGAAAAATACTATTGCCCGGGATAAAAACTCCCCGAGCCAAGATCGTGCAAAGGCCATGATCTTTTTGTGCCATCACATCGATGAGGCACTGAAAATCCAGTATGTCACGCTGGAATCCCCACTCGAATTGTGGGAGAGATTGAAAGAAAGATATGATCATTTCAAGCTGACATTATTGCCATGGGCTCGAAGCGAATGGCAAAGCCTAGGGCTTCAGGACTTTAAAACAGTCCAAGAATATAATTCTGCAATATTTAAAATAACATCACAGCTACGCCACTGTGGCGAAAATATATCTTAATCTGATATGATGGAGAAAACTTTCTCCACTTTTCATGCCTCTAACATAGTTTTGCAACAGCAGTATCGCGAAAGAAGCTTCCAGAAATATTATGAGCTGATCACCTGTCTTTTGCTGGCCGAACAAAATAATGAATTGTTGTTGAAAAATCACGAATCTCGGCCAAAAGGTGCAAATCCATTTCCAGAAGCAAATGCGATACAACCGGCAAATCCGGTGCGTGGTCGTGGGCAAGTCAGAAATCAGCGAATTGAGCTTGATCGAAATCATAATCGCAGACGGGGCCGGGCAAGCGCATACAGTCATAATAATTATCAAAATAGGCCCCGATATGTGCCAAATCGGCGTTATAATAACAGAAGGCCGTACAGACCTCAACAGAGGATCAACACTGGGAGAAACAGAAATAATGACGATGAATGCACCCGGTGTGGAATCAAAGGCCATTGGGCCCATATTTGTTGCACAGCCAGTCACTTTGGCTGAACTGTATCGGGCCTTAAAAGAAAGACAGAGAATAATTGCCCCCAAAACAAATCACGCTGCCCACGATGACACATTTGACGATGTGATGAAAGAAAATATCACGCACCTGGATGCCGATGATCTGCTTGATATAGCTGATGATGTTAAATGATAAAATGATGTTGTATCTCTTTTGTTATTTTGATGTTTTCTGCCCCCTTTTTGTATTACCCCCTATAATATAAGTCTATTTTGATTATGTTAATAATACATGTCTTTTATTATTTTTACCTTCTTGCATAGATATGGATGCCAAATATTTTGGAGCCGATGACAATATATGTCTTATCTACAGTGCTACGACTCACAGCATTCTGAAAAACAAATGTTATTTCTCCCACCTGAATATGGGAAAGACTACAATTGTTACTATCAGTGGTGCATCGAAAATGATTGAAGGCTCAGGAAAAGCTATTGTATATCTCCCAAAAGGGACAAAAATGGCAATTGAAAATGCATTGTTCTCGAGCAAAGCTCGAAGAAATTTACTGAGCTTCAGTGATATTCGGAAAAATGGGTATCACATTGAAACATTGAATGAGGCAGAAAATGAGTATCTTCTGATAACTCAGGTTGTGAATGGCAAAAGAATTGTGAAAGAAAAAATTGTCATCATTTTCTTCCGGCTTATATTACTCAAAAATCAGTGTCATTGAAACATATCACCTAGTAGACCAAATGGCTACTAGCGAATTTAAAACTTTGCATGATCAACTTGGGCATCCTGGCAATGTAATGCTGAGGCGAATTGTTGAAAATTCAAATGGCCACTCATTGAAAAAGAAAAATATTTTGAATCCGAATGAATTTACTTGTGTTGCCTGTTCCCAAGGGAAGTTAATAATCAGGCCATCTCCAAAAAATGTTGGATTTGCATCCCCAGCTTTTCTGGAAAGAATTCAGGGTGATATTTGTGGACCAATAGATCCACCGTGTGGACATTTCAAGTACTTTATGGTACTAATCGACGCGTCAACGCGATGGTCACACGTATGCCTGTTATCTACTCGCAATCTAGCTTTCGCTAGACTACTTGCACAAATAATTAAATTTCGAGCACAATTTCCAGATCACCCGATAAAGAAAGTGCGTCTAGATAATGCTGGAGAGTATTCATCACATACATTTGATGATTACTGCATGTCAATTGGGATTACTGTGGAACATCCTGTTCTCCATGTACATATGCAAAATGGTCTGGCTGAATCCCTTATCAAAAGATTGCAATTAATTGTTAGACCATTATTGATGAGGTCTAAACTTCCTGTATCATGTTGGGGACATGCTATCTTGCATGCAGCAGCCCTCGTGAAAATAAGGCCAACAAGTTATCACTGTTATTCCCCTACTCAATTGGTTTCTGGAAAAATACCAAATATATCTCAGCTGCGAATATTTGGGTGTGCTGTTTATGTTCCAATTGCACCACCTCAACGCACGAAAATGAGACCTCAAAGAAGGTTGGGTATATATGTCGGGTATGAATCACCCTCGATCCCAAAATATCTTGAACCAACAACGGGTGATTTATTTACTACAAGGTTTGCAGACTGTCATTTTGATGAATCTCATTTCCCGAAATTAGGGGGAGACAGTAATCAACTGAAAAAAGAAATTTCGTGGAAAACACCACTTGAATTTGATCTTCGTACGAAACATAGTGAACTTGAAGTTCAAAGAATTGTGCATTTACAGAAAATTGCAAATCAATTGCCTGATACTTTTAATGATGCTGCCAGAGTTACGAAATCGTATATTGCAGCAGCAAATGCACCGGCTAAAATAAATATCTCAGAAGGGAAAGTGCCGAGTGCTAATGAGCATACTGCCCACGTAAAACGTGGCAGACCATTGGGTTCTAAGGACAAGAATCCACGAAAGAAGAAAATTGTAAATACTGGTGAAGAGATCAACAATGATCAGATACCTGAAAAGGTCAGTACAACCCCTGAAGAGGTTGACACTAAAAATTCTGATGAAAGTGATGATGAAGTTATTGAAATTTCTGTTAACTATACCACAAATGGAAAATATTGGAACAGAAAGAAAACAAATATTGATAATGCATTTGCATATTCTGTAGCACTTGATATAATGAAAGATGACGAGGATTATGAACCAAAATCAGTTGATGAATGTCGACAAAGAGATGATTGGGCAAAATGGAAAAGCGCATTTAAGTCTGAACTGGACTCATTGAAAAAACGGCAAGTATTCGGCTCTATAGTCCAAACACCAAAAAATGTGAAACCTGTTGGTTACAGATGGGTGTTTGTGAGAAAAAGAAATGAAAATAATGATATCACAAGATATAAAGCAAGGCT